AAGTGTAGCTTTGGGATAGATCTAAAGGCATACATATCTGGGCAAGTAGTTTCCTTAGAATTGCAGGTTTCCCATCCGCGTACTTGATCAGACCATGTTTTCTGTTTCAGAGAATTTGGAGTAAGCATCAATCTTTGATAAGAAGTATCATACATTGGGATAAAATACCGTTATATTCTCTTGAATGGCTTTGGTGAAGCTATTTATGTCTGAGTCATAAAATCTTTCTTTGGCTGTTTCAATTATGTTGACATCCCAAACCTGTGTAGCAAAAAATTGGTGAGTAGAGTAGATGGTGAAATAGATCATACAGTAGTAGTGAATGAACCTGAGAATTAGACTTACATGGTGAAGATTTTGCTTCCTTCTATACCAGTGAATGTTAATTAAATTGCCTCCTTTGTCAGAGGTAAATCCCACATGTAGAGGGTGCCGATTCACCACGCAAAAGAGCCATTACAATAACTAAATTGCAAAGTCAGATGCTAGCTTAGTATATGGTGATTTTAGTGGTTTATCATGCTCACCTGATGTACATCTCCCATAAAATGAGAGAGGAACAAAAGAGTTTGTGTGAGGATATCTGATATCATGATTTCACCAATTCAATAAGAATTTGGTCAGTGAGAGAATAAGATATAAACAAAAAAATTGGGAAAAAATAGAGGTTGTAAGCTCATAGCAATGGTTTACATGGAGTGTCTTTGCCATAGTCCAGGAGCTGGTCTGTGTAATTCTTAATCGCTCTCACAACAAATCCTTGCAATCCCCTGAATTTTCAGACAGCTGATCAAAACTATCCCACATCACCCGCATCACCGGATTTCTAATCTATAAATTTTAGAATCCCAAAAGCGAATCTGATTTATGAGATTCTGCACTATCAGCAATTGATAATTTTTCAGAACTGTACAAATAATGTATCCTATAATAGTGTTAGATTATTTAACACAAAAACAGAAAATAAACACCAAAATCCTAAGGAGGACAAACATGGATATTAAATTAGGAGCAGAAGATGAGAAATGAACTTACTGTCATACTGATAATTGCAATGGTTGTCTGGCGTATCAGCAAAGTGCAATGCAGAAGATCAGTGCAAATAAACTTCGAATGTCTGGACGAATAATTATGAAATCTCTTCGTAATCGTAATAGTGTTTCCAGAGTGCGAAAGAAAAGAAACTAACATCAATTCCTATTTCCATAATATCATGTCAAATTACCAATTTTAATGCGATCATTCATCATTCGAGTGTTGTGCTCAAAATCTAATAAATCTATACATGTTGCGTTAGGATACTGAAAGCAAAGCCATAATAGGAGAAATCATATGAAAGATAAACTTACTTCATCCCAAGACTTCACCTGAGCAAGTCGTGGATATAGAGGCACCTTAGGATTGACAAATGATATGGAATTGGATACTGCCATAAGCTTAGGCTGCATTGTTCAATCAGATGACTCTAAGTCAGCCAAAAAAATCATATTCATTTAGTAAGAATGGGAGGAAGATAACAGGTTAAAGTAGCTATCTCATATCTCATCTACTTGCTTTACTCATAACCCTTCCCAAATTTCAAAAGAA